AGAAAAAATAAAAGCAGGAACTCTACACAAAATCTATCTTTAGATTAGGAGGCTAACAGTGAATGTGTGGATGGGTGAGAGGGTAGCTAAGGCAAAAATTACCCGTGAGTGAGGGCAGGAGAAGGTGACTATTGATGGTGTGGAACTAAAAGGAGGAAACATCTGGAGAGTGTATATTTCACCCAATAATCCCACAAAGTCATGTTAATCATAGAGAATGGAAGGAGCTTCAGGTGTCCTCCAGCACACTGGTATTAGTGCTTTCACTTTGGTGAAGAGATGTAGCTTCACCTAGTATTTTTTTTATTCATATTTTATTGACGTTTTCAAAATATACATTGTGTTGCAGGGAAAATCACCAGAGGAAGACATGGACAAACAATGAAACACCAATAGCATGAAAAGGGGGACATATGAAAAGAGAACTAGTTCTAATTATAAGAGTATATGCAACCCATGAAGTCATGAATTGTCACTGGTCCCCCCACCGGATGTGTTCAGGTAGTTTTTGTATTCAGCTGGAGATGTTGCTGTGTAATAAAAGAACACTGTAGAAAATAATGCCAACAAACACTGCTTGGAAATAAGTAGGGTACCAAGGTATAAATGAAAAGTATACATGTAAGTAAATTGTAAGCTAACAATACTCAGCAAGTCCAAACTAGAAGCTGAGTCTAAACGTTATGTATAGACTTTATAAGATCTGAAAAATATATGAAGTCATTAATCTGTGGTCTATGGGCATATGTCCACCATGTGAAAATTGGTTATTTACAGTGAGGAAAAAAAGTATTTGATCCTCTGCTGATTTTGAATGTTCGCCCACTGACAAAGAAATTATCAGTCTATAATTTTAATGGTAGGTGTATTTCAACAGTGAGAGACAGAATAACAAAAAATAAATCCAGAAAAACGCATGTCAAAAAAGTTATGAATTGATTTGCATGTCAATGAGTGAAATCACAGAGGTCAGACGTTTCTTGTAGTTGGTCACTAGATTTGCACACATCTCATGAGGGATTTTGTCCCACTTCTCTTTGCACATCCTCTCCAAGTCATTAAGGTTTCAAGGCTGACGTTTGGCAACTCGAACCTTCAGCTCCCTCCACAGATTCTCTATGGGATTAAGGTCTAGAGACTGGCAAGGCCACTCCAGGACCTAAATGTGCTTCTTCTTGAGCCACTCCTTTGTTGCCTTGGCTGCGTGTTTTGGGTCATTGTCATGCTGGAATACCCATCCACAACCCATTTTCAATGCCCTGGCTGAGGGAAGGCGGTTCTCATCCAAGGTTTTGACTGTACATGGCACGGTCCATCGTCCCTTTGATGCGGTGCAGTTGTCCTGTCTCCTTATCAGAAAAACACCCCCAAAGCATAATGTTTCCACCGTCATGATTGATGGTGGAGATGGTGTTCTTGTTGTCATAGGCAGCATTCCTCCTCCTCCAAACAAAGTGAGTTGAGTTGATGATTTTGGTCTCATCTGACCAGAACACTTTCACCCAGTTCTCCTTTGAGTCAATCAGATGTTAATTGGCAAACTTCAGACAAACCTGTACATGTGTTTTCTTGAGCAGGGGGACCTTGCGGGTGCTGTAGGATTTCAGTCTTTCACTGCGTGGTGTGTTACCAATTGTTTTCTTTGTGACTATGGTCCCAGCTGCCTTGAGATCATTTTCAAGATTCTCCGGTGTATTTCTGGGCTGATTCCTCACCGTTCTCATGATCATTGAAACTCCACGAAGTAAGATCTTGCATGGAGCACCAGACCGAGGTAGACTGACAGTTATTTTGTGTTTCTTCCATTTGCGAATAATCGCACCAGCTGTTGTCACCTTCTGACCAAGCTGCTTAGCTATGGTCTTGTCGTCCATTACATCGTTGAGTAGGTCTACAATCTTGTCCCTGACATCCTTTGGACAGCTCTTTGGTCTTGGCCATGGTGGAGAGTTTGGAATCGGATTGATTTATTGCTTCTGTGGCCAGGTGTCTTTTATACAGGTAACAAGTTGAGATTAGGAGTACTCCCTTTAAGAGAGTGCTCCTAATCTCAGTTTGTTACCTGTATAAAAAATACCTGGGAGCCAGAAATTGTTCTGATTGATAGGGAATCAAAAAATACTTATTTCACTTATTGACATGCAAATCAATTTATACATTTATTTTACATGCATTTTTCTGGATTTTGTTTTGTCATTCGGTCTCTCACTGTTAAAATACACCTACCATTAAAATTATAGACTGATCATGCCTTTGTCAGTGGACAAATGTTCAAAATCAGCAGGGGATCAAATACTTTATTTCCTCACTGTATATATTCCAAGAAGATTGCATTTTTTTATATCCTAGGATAGTTATGTATAAGGAGGAGCAAATATTATTTGCTCAACGGTCCATAACCATGGGATATTTAAAATGAGTAGGTGCTATTATCAAGCGATGAGACTCTCAATTTGTGGGCAGCTAAAATTCTCAAAAGGGCCAATGGCAGTATCTTGCTCTTCACATAACGCCTTAAAGTCGGAAAGGTGGAGTGTTTTTATAGTTCCTCTAGCAAAGGCATTTGGGAATACAAAAGAGATTATTCACACAAGCATGCTTGAAACCTTTGTAGAGGTGTACCTAACCTCCATACCCTCAATGGCAGGATGTATCCAGATCTCTTGGATCAATGGCTATTTGCTCAAAATGAAGAGAAGCAGCAAAAAATGGGCACTTACTGATACATCGTGGTTCCACAACATTGGAGTTCAGTAATATTACAAAACGCATGACCTGAGTGCTTCTCCTGGCTTTTATTGGGCTAGTCAGTGAGTATGGGAAGGTTTTATGAGTGCTAAATGACCATGATAACATGCATATTGATGGTCTCTTCTCTGCACATGTCAAAGAAAGAGGTTGTGAAGAAGTCTAAAGATGTTTTTCGATTAGATACACCTTTCTCGCATTACGAAAGGTTTATCTAATAGTAAACCTTATAGATAGTTTGAATGTTGATAAAAAGTAATTAAATTACATGAACACATTAATTATGTGTTATTTGCGCTCCCATGTTCATATAATTAAAAATAAAATGCTCTTTGGTTTCATTCGCCATTTGTGTTACACGACCATTGCTCCTCTCTCCTGCTTCCTCCTTCTTCTCTCTCCTGCTTCTCTCCTAGACTTTCTCTTTTTTATAACTCAACAGCCACACTTTAAACACTGGACTGGAACCATAAAGAAATAAGTCGAGGTATTCAGTTATATTTTCTCAATTTTCTTTGTATGAGTCTAGAATGTTCTAGTTAATTAATATTAACATAATCTTGGATCATTCGTCTTTTGCCACGGTGCCACTGCTGAATGAGACCATTAGCTGTTTTTGATGCTCGTATTTGTTGCTATACGGTGAAAATATAATTTAGTCAGCAATATTATGGCAAACTGCTCAGCTGCTGCCCACAAAGTGTTCCTGTCAAGATTATGAATGAAATGGATAGCAACACTCATTTAGAAAATCACCTAAAGTGCTAAATGAAAAATTAACAGCTCTACAAGATCTATTGTGTGTTACCAGTGAGACAAGCTAAATGGAATTAATTGAGAAATTAACTAATGAAAAGGAATCCATGCAGAAAATTAAATCCTGATTCGTTTAATATATTGGATTTTCAGGTGCGGAGAAAAAGGTATGAATTACAAAAATCTGATAAAGCAGGGTTCGATATAAAATATTTCACATATATCGTAATAACAAGGTTTTTAGTTGACACTGTTACAAGCATGGCATTCGAACCCTGGCCTACATGATGTTTTGATAATGTGTCTTTTTACTGTGGTCCTGCTTTATCATAGAGGGTATTCATTAGGTAGGGGATGGAGTTGAGAATAATGGGTACATTTATATAGATGGCTAGATTGAAAACATGGCAACAGACACCAAAACAAATTTAGCTTACTAAAGTGGTTTTGGTGCATAGATCTTGCTCCTGCTGTTCCACTGCTGAATTATCTGCCACTTTTAAATCACTTTGTTAATGTAGCTCTAGCCACACTTCCCTTGCCTGAGACTCAAACAGCCTGCCTACATATCTATTGAAATAACTTTAAAAGTTATTATCTGTGTCAGAATATGTGTTTATGTTGAATTTACTCTCTATGAGTCTCTCCATGAGTGGTTCACTGGCTTTTCAGTTCTTCCTGAGTTGTGTTTTAAAGCTGTTACATACAGCAAACATTAACTCCAAGGACTCCTTGTTTAAAGTGTAATAATGAAGCAAAAAGGTATTCTTTGTTGAACTAATTTTCATATGCCTGCCCAGAATCTCTCGCAGAAGTAACAGCACTGCAAATTGGAGATTTCTGTGGGTAAAGCAAGTCTTATGGCTTGACTGGTGTGCAGATCTGTGTTGAACAATGTATTGACTATCCTCTGTATAGCAAAGTATTCTAGAGTCAAATGTGAGACCATCTGTCAGACAGCCAAAGCTTGACCAAAATTGGGCCATGCAACAGGACAATGATCTCAAGCACACCATCAAATGTACAACAGAATGGCTGAAGAAATAATTAATCAAGGTTTGCAATGGCCCAGTCAAAGCCCAGACCTTAATCCAATTGAATTGCCGTAATGGGACCTCAGGAGAGCTGTACATAAACAAATGCCAGCAAACCTCAAAGAACTGAAGCAACATTGTAAACAAGGGCCAAAAATCCTCCTCAACGATGTGAGAAATTGATTACGTAATACAGAAAACGATATTACAAGCTATTGCTGCTAAATGTGGATCTACAAGCTATTGAATCATATGGTGTACTTTGTTTCTCTCACATGGCTTCTCCATTTTGTGTTTATTTTTATTAAATAAACCATGACATGGTGTAATTAGAGATGTCACGAACCGTTCGCGAACTTCCCGTGAACGGCTCGCCACGGTTCGCTCCGGTCAGCTGACACATCCCGGCCAATCTCCAGCAGACCCTCCCTCCCAGACCCTCCCACCTCCTGGACAGCATCCATGTTGAAGGCAGCAGACCCTCCCTCCCAGACCCTCCCACCTCCTGGACAGCATCCATGTTGAAGGCAGCTTCAACATGGATGCTGTCCAGGAGGTGGGAGAGTCTGGGAGGGAGGGTCTGCTGGAGATTGGCTGGGATGTGTCAGCTGACCGGAGCTCGCCGCGAACGGTTCGTGGCGAACCGTGGCGAGCCGTTCGCGGGAAGTTCGCGAACGGTTCGCGACATCTCTAGGTGTAATATGTCATGTGTTGTTGTCCATCTGAGGTTGTATTTACCTAATTTTAAGATTTGCTAAGGAATCCATAGAATGTATTTTTCCCATGACTGTATATACATATATATTAATATGTATTGTGACAATGTGGCCCTGGTGTCTCTGTTACTGAAGGTGCAACAGTTCAGGCCTAATATAGTCCGTGGGTAATTGCATTAACTTGCACAACTGATTGCTATACAATGCCGTGACTATGCTGTGACTCGGGCTTTGAGTTGCTTTATCCAGCGACCATACAGAATATACTTCCCTGATATCTCCAGTTACTACAGAATATTCTGTTTATCTAGCCCTCTGGCAAAACTCGATAAGTAACTACTCTATAACTACTTTATAGAGGACAATAAATGCCAATATACCTGTGAGACCTCAAGGAAGAGACAAACAAGCTATTTCTTGGCGCAAACAACCGTACTTGACTTTATTTTACAGGAACCAGGGTTATTAAACACTCAGCACAAAATGTACAACTATATTATTTGGTACAGTTCCCTTCTGGACACATGTGTAACTATAACACCAATGTTTTGGCACCAAAAATGTGTCTTTCTCCAGGGACATAAGAATATCTTATATAACATGAAGAGTGCAAACTGCCCAAGAAAGCAAAATAAAATGTAGACATATGGATAAATAGGCTAAAAGTAAGCAACAGGGTGGTATTCAGGGTCCAATATAGCATTTTGATGTGAAAATAAATAAAATGAGTGGGGGCATAGCTCCAATTTCTCCCTAAAAGACAATATACATTAATTTGATTATGAAACTGTGTTATTTGCTATTAACCATAAGATAACTATTAACCATTGCCCAGGAAATTGCAAATTGTAACTTAGTTATGCTTTCAGCTCAGCTATTTTGGCTTATTTAGTGAATGGCCCTACTTTGTCATATGTGCACATCCACATACCAGCAGTCTACAGAGGTGGAAACATTAGCTTTCAGGTTGAGAATACATTTATCAAAAGGAGAAAGGCTTCTTGTCAATTACTGGTAAACGCAGACAGCCCCACTGGTAGCCACACAATGCTTTGAGCCCAGTCCAATTTCCTCGTAAAGCATTAACATTTAACAATTGCAAGCTGCCAAAACAGAGATTAAATGTAACTAGTGTGACATACTAACCATCCTTAGACAAAGATATTACAGAGTGCTCCATATTATATGAGAAAAAGATTGTGAGATATTTATAAAAATACATTTAGACTGCATTATTAAATTACCGACATTGCAGCCCAACCAAAATATGCTATAAAACATAATACAGTGTCATAACACATTTTGATAAAATATACCTAAAGGGACACTATAGTCACCAGAACTGCTACAGCTTATTGAATTTGTTCTGGTGAGTATAATCAGTCCTTTCAGGCTTTTTGCAATAAACACTGGGTTTTTTTCAGAGAAAAAACAGTGTTTACATTACAGCCTAGAGATACCTCCACTGGCCACTGCTCAGATGGCTACTAGAGGTGCTTCCTGGGGCAGTGCTGCACAGTGTGACTGACATTCAGTGTCTCCACCCTCTGCCTGGAGACACTGAACATTCCTCATAGAGATGCATTGTTTCAAATGCATCTCTTTATTTGAGTCTAATGACAGAAACAAAGCATCAATGTGAAACAGCAGGAGAGACAAAAACACTGGAGCCTTCATGAGTCACACTTATCAGACTCTCTCTCTCTTCTCCCACTGTCAAGAAGTTATAAGGTGAGAAGATCTTCAAAATGCATATGTGTAAGAAACATTTGCATTATTCCTAGGGATAATACACTGATTGGTTAAGAAACATTTGCATTATTCCTAGGGATAATACACTGATTGGTTAGATCAATGTTCCCCCAGACTGTATGTACAAAGCATAAGATATAACAAGCAGGTAAATATGAAAAACAAAACATATTTACCTGCTTTATTCAGCTTACAGAGTGAGGAAACTGTTTCATTCAAAGCTAAAACTTTTGAATCAGACAATTGTCTCAAAGTGATGCATAACCTTTTAAGGGAGCAGCACACACACACAAAAAATTCATTAGAAGGGTAGTTAAAATTTGTACCCTTAAGAAAAAAAGTGAATTCATATACTACATGCCCGTATTGTCCTCCACTATTACTAAAATATACAATTATGGTTCTTACACTTATTTTAACATGAGGAATAAATATGCTACCTGCAAAATGCACTGCTTCAAGAACCTCTATAAATATATGCTTTTGCGTGATCACACTTATGGTTAGTAAACCATTGCTATTTTTCTCTTTATGTTTTCTTTCTGATACCTAGCTATAAACAGGTTCCAAGACTTCGTCTCTCTCTCAGTTACTCTTGGCTGCCTCTATACCAAGATCATGATCTATGACGGTATAGCGATGTCACGTCAAGAGTGGCCCAAATAAAAGCATCCTCCCATTCGATCAAATCCAATTCCTTAATAAGGTGCTTAGTGTCTTTGATGTCAGATAAAGCTCCCTGAGCATATTTCTGTAAAGATAAGTCTATATACTCAGAGAGTTTGGTCGTGAGGGAGTCTATGCCACTACTTATGGGCCTACCAGGAGGTTTTTCTTTACATTTGTGAATTTTTGGGGAGGAAATAGAAAGTAGATACCTTCGGAAAATCAGAGAAAATTAAAGAATATGTTGGGTCATCAAAAATGCTGGCTTCTTTAGCACCATTTAAGAGTTGTTGTAATTCTAAATTAAATTTATGATTAGGATTGTTAGTGAGTTTAACATAGGTTTGATTCCGTCAAATAGTATTCGGTTGACATAACAGCTATGCTTTCTCCTTTGTCTGCATTTTTAATTGTTAGATCCTTTCTATTTTTAGGGATTAGTAATATTTTACTCTCTCCCTGAGTTAAATTCTTATGTTTATCCCCTTTACCGAGGTTCTTGCCTAACTTTTCCAAGTCTCTAATTATCATCTTATTAAAAGCTTTGATTTGGCTCCTTTTCTCATTTTGGCAGAATTTCGATTTTGGTTTAAATCTCTGGGGCTCTTTATTAGTAACTGTGTTTAGTGGATAATTTACATGGCCTTCATTAGTTTTTTTGACAAAATATTTTGATAGACATCTTCCTGACAAATTTTTGTGCATCGATGAACAATTGAAAACAGTTAGGTTGTTCCTCAGGAACAAACTTTAAACCTTTACTCAAAAGGAAAAAGTCTTGGAATGCTAAAATTGAATTAGAAATGTTAAAAACGCCTAACTTCTCCTCTTCTAATTTAGTTAGCATTGAATTCCCATCACATCTCCACTCATTCTCCTTCTTTTCCCTTGAGTATTTCCTTCTCTCAATAGTGCAAAATGATTGATATGGGGTAATTCTTGAGACCTGGGTTGAAAGAATTCTGTTATCCCTCCCCTTCTTCGGTCTCGCCCCTTCCCTAAAAAATCCCTATTGTGACTATTAGAGGGATATTGAGAAGAAGGAACAATACTCACAGGGGAATGGTGGTGGGGAGGTGGATTTAAAACTCAAGAAGATTGAGCTGAATTGTCATTGTGTTTGTCAGATTGATTTTTTTTTGGGGGGGTACGATGTCTGGACTGAAATCCAGTTTGATTACCCTTTCTTTGCATTGGTCTTTCTCTGTAAAAGTTTTTGTAATTAGTTTTACCACTCTCTTTTTGTCAAAATCTGTTTTCAATTTTGTTCAAAGTTGAATGAGAATCATTGACTTTATCACTTTTATCTCTTATATATTTCTTTTTTTGTTGTTTGTGCTATACTATCATCAAGTTTTTCAATTCTTTCTTTCAAAAATAATGTTCTCCTTTCTTTTAAATTCAGGTGTATATATATCTAAGGTATTAGATTCAGCCAATTTTCCCATTTCACTAGAGACCACATTAAGATTATCTCTCGCAAAATCGATAATTATCTCCATGAGTGTCATTGAGCATCTCTCCAGTGCTGTATCCCAGCTTTCAATATATTTAGATTTTTCTAGGCCATTCACCGGTCTTTTATCTAGTCTTAATCCTCTAGGGATTAGTCCTACTTTCAGGTAGGATTCCAAAAAGGATATTCAGGCTGTTGGATCACATATTGAATTGATTGATAAATAATAAGAAGAAATTGAGAAAAGGACATACCTAAACTAGGCACTCTAGAGCATGGGAATATTCAGCTGGATGGACTGAGCAAATATCCATAAAGCACACGGTGAAGTCAAAAGTCACACAACAAACAAGGGTGGCTTGAGAGAGAAGACAGATATGGGGAAAGGAAGCCATACAACAGAGTAGCATATGTCTCCTAAGATGGTGCTTTTCAATATTAATGTCTTGAGTGGTAGTACTTAAACAAGCTATGCATTGTGGTAAGCAAGGAAGCACAAGAGGATCATATAAAAAACATAAACAAAAATAACAATGGGATTATCATTTTACTATTGCTGAAGAACACAAGACATAGAATTGTATACATTTGCTTCCTTTAAAAAAGATGGAAACCCGTATGTGTTAGGAATTTAACCCCTTAAGGACCAAGCTTCTGGAATAAAATGGAATCATGACATGTCAGACATGTCAGACATGTCATGTGTCCTTAAGGGGTTAAGGACAAGATTCATGATGGATTTATAAAACCATTTCAACATTATTGCACATAAGAAATAAACAAAAATTTAAGCATGTCTACCACTATAGAGAATCAAAAATGGGTCGCAAGAGAATACTGAGGACGGGTAGCAGCTGAAATAGCCTGCCCTTCGGTCGGTCCCCGCTCAGTTCTCAAGCTGATTTTTGCTCATCTTGTGCCATTACAGAGAGAACATATCTGAAGCATATCAGACTGGTCCTCACCCATACGGGCAGTCCAGATCCGAAATGCCAGCAAGTTCTC